GCAATTAGGGGTCCCTTCCCCTAGGATAGTCTGACATGATAGCGCTTTGTTCAGATCCTCCATTGGGTCCCCCAAAGTTACTATGCAAAGTCCTGCCTGGGGGCCAGTGTTACATACACTCTACCTTCGCCCTAGAGCTGCCACACCTCTCCAACCAGCTCAGGCTCCACTTCCTTCCAGAAAACCAAGATAACCCAGCCCTCCAGTTTCCTGGTTACCTACCACCCAAGTGCCTGCCTGGGTGGTTCACTTCCCAAAGACATTTCACCTGTCTTTCTCAGTAAACCCTGCAATCATAGAGAAGAAACCGCCAAGCCCTCAGCCCCTGGTGGATGTTTCAAAAGAACTGAGTGACAGCGGCACAGTGGCTCACGCCTGTAATCCCAGTGGCTCAGGAGGCTGAGACAGGAGGATCATGAATTCAAAGCCAGCCTCAGCAACTTAGCAAGGCACTAAGCAACTCAGTGGGACTTTTATTTCCAAATAAATATATTTAAAAAGGGATGAGGAGGCTCTCTGGTTAAGTGCTCCTGGGTTCCATCTTTGGTACCAAAAAAAAGAATTGAATGACTGATAACAGGACAGGAAGCCTGAGACACAGAAGAGGAGAAGTAGAAAGAGAAAGAGGGACAAAGAAGTGGGGACACAAAAGCCACCTCCAGGAAGATGAAGGCATGGGGGCAACCCTAACGACTCAGAGTTGGTTCTGACCCTCCAGAAATGGCGGGTGACCACCCAAGGCCATCACCAAGCTGTGGGCAGACAGAGGGCAATGGGGAGATGCAGGCAGCTGGGGAAAAAGTTGCTCTGCCTTCTTCTTTTCTCCACTCCCTACACCCAGGGGCCAGCAGAGAGCCTGGCCAAAGGAGGTCAGAGTGACCAGCATTAGCAGTGCCAGGGCGAGGGTTACACAGTGACAGGGCAAAAATGAAGGCAGCTGTGAGCAGGAGGCTGGCACCCCAGGCCTGGGAGCAAGCCCAAGAGAGGTGAGAGGTGCTCAAGAAGGACAAGGGGCAGGGCCAACGAGCGTGGGAGACTGGGCTCAGAAATAACAGGTGTTAATCCGTGGTGTTGCTTTGCATGTCATCTGCATGTCTGCCTGGCCCTGGCAAGCGGGTGCTGCTCTGGGTGTGCTGTGGCCCGGGCTGGGAGCAGGCCTAATCCCTGTCCTCAAAGAGCTGAGGCCAGGTCCCCAGGTCTACAATCCTGCTCTCAGCATGCCATCCTGCCTGCCTGCCTGCCTTAGGCCCAGCAGGTGCCCCTCTGGGTTAGCCCTCTGGATAGGCAAAAAGTGGTGGGAGTATAAAGATAGGGCTCTTGGTGATGCTGGTAGCTGACTGGAGGCTCAGGATGTGGCTGGGGGACGCATGATGGACAGAGCCACTCCCCTGAGGGAAGATCAGAGGATGGGAGCAGAATGGCGAGGAGTGAAGTCTGAGTCAGCTGGGCAGCGTGACTTTCCTGCTCCACCTCCTGAGGGGCCCAGCCCACACACTGGGATGAGCTCAGAGCTATCTATACCTCCCAGTTGCACTGGCCGGCCCTGTAGAGTGGCCCTCCATCACCTCTCCTGGTTCCATGTTGGCTGGGCCCCCAGGGCTGGTAAGAAGAGATGCAGCTAAGCCAGTATCTCTACTCACACAGGCCAGGTGAGTCATCGGACATGGTGCACAGCCTCTGTTCCCCCTGCCCAGAGCCTGACCCACCTGAGCCAGGGCCAAGCCGAGGCGGGGCAGGGAGGGGAGCAGAGAGGCCATTCAGGGTGAGGCTGGAGCACGGGCTGGGGGGCAGGAGCGCCGGCTGCAAGCCTTACTCTCAGCCCACCGTCAGAGGGCCTCGGGAAACTGGGCTTCCCCGCGCAACCACTTCTGAATCTGCAAGCAGAGGTCCGAGAGATAAAGGATACCCAGGACCACCGGGAGCTCCTGAGTCTTATTAAGAGGCACTAGTGGGCTGGGAATGTGGCTCAAGCGGTATCGCGCTCACCTGGCATGCATGCGGCCCGGGTTCGATTCCCAGCACCACATACAAACAAAGATGTTGTGTCCGCCAAATACTAAAAAATAAATGTTATTAAAAAAAAAAAAAAAAAAGAGGCACTAGTCCTCTGCCACTCTCCCCTCCCTTCTTTGAGACCCTCTGTGTGGTCCCCATCCTGCATACCTCCTGTCTGTCAGCACAGAAAAAGGACAGCCACACAGGGGGACACCATCATGGCCAGAAAGTTGACCAAACACCATCTTCATGCCACTTCCTTACTCAATGGTTTTGCTCTTACCAAAGAGAATTTCAACCCAAGGCCTGCCAGAAATCTACAGTGTGCCCTCCCCCAAGCCTGGCAAGCACAATGGTCTGGAGACTCCAAATAAAGACTCTTAACCCCAATAAACATATATATGAAGTATTATAAATTAATTAAATTAAACTAAGCATCTACCCAAATGTGCGTTGGCAAGTGAATGGATAAACAAAATATGATATATACATACACACAAAGGAATCTTGGCCTTAAAAAGGAAAGAAACTGGGCACAGTAGTATGCCTATAATCTCAGCTCCTCAAGAGGCTGAGGCAGGAGGATGGTAAATTTGAGGCCAACTTGGGCAACTTAGTGAGACCCTGTCTCAAAATAAAACAAATATATAGCTCAGTGGCAAAGTACTTGCCCAGCATGCGTGAGGCCTTGGGTTCAAACCCAAGTACTGCTCCCTCGAAAAAAATAATTTCCACAGAAAATTATTATGATCCATGTTATAACACAAGTAAGCCTTGAAAACATTGTGTTAAGTAGTCGGTCACAAAAGGACCATCATTACTTGTGTCCATTATATGAGTCCCTGGAGCAGTCAAACGCATACAAAGTAGAATGGTAGTTGCCAGGCGCTGGGGTTCAACACAAGAATGAGGAATTATTATTCAAGGAGGAAAGAGTTTCAGTTTAGCATAATGAAAATTTTCTGGCAATAGATGGTGGTAATGGTTGTAACAAAAGTCTAAATGAAGGGCTGGGGCTGTAGCTCATGGTAGAGCGCTTGCCTAGCATTGTGAGGCACTGGGTTTGATTCTCAGCACCGCACACAAACAAATAAAATAAAGGTCCATCTAAAAATAAAAAAATATAATTTTATACAGAGGGCCTCGGGAAACTCACACACATATACACACACACACATATATATTATATATTTTAAGTCTGAGTGGCTGAGTATGGTGTCACACCCCTGTAATCCCAGTGGTTCAAGAGGCTGAGGCAGGAAGATCATAAGTTCAAAGCCAGCTTCAGCAACTTGGTAAAGCCATAAGCAACTTAGTAAGACCCTGTCTCAAAATAAAAAATAAAAAGGGTTGGGATGTGGCTCAGTGGTTGAGTGTCCCTGGTTTGATCCCTGGTACCAAAACAAACAATGAAATAAACCCAAAAGTCTAGCCAATGTGGTGGTGCACACCTGAAATCCCAGTGGCTCAGGAGGCTGAGGCAGGAGGATCCTAAGTTGGAAGCCAGCTTTAGCAACCTAGCAAGGCCCTCAGCAATTTAGCGAGACCCTGTCTCAAAGTAAAAAATGTAAAAAGGGCTGCAAGTGTGACTCAGAGGTTAATGGCCCCTGGGTTTAGTTCTTAGTACAAAAAAAAGTTTGAGTGTACTGAATACCACTAAATTGTAAATTTAAAGATTCTAATAGTTACAATGGTCAATTTTGTATTATATACATTTTACCACCAAAAAAAAAAAAAAAAAAGACAGGAAGCAGTTTAAGGCCCTGGACCACAGTGGCACTTAAACTAATTTTTAGTATACTGGTTCTGTTATGCCCTGGCACCTCCACAGGGCCTTCCCAGGCACCGGCAGCACTCTCAGGTCATGCCCTCCAATGAATACCCTCTACACACTTGTGTAGCAGACCATCTGTCCTTCTGAAGCACACAGACAGACCCTGTAAAGTGTCCTGGCTCCCTGACCAGGCACCAAGAAGCTGTCCAGCTGAACAACTGGCCTTCCCCAGCACACCACTTGGCCTCTCACCTGCACACTTAGCTCATGATGAACAGTCATCCCATTCTCCAAAGAGCCCAGTGTCCCAGGGGCTGCTTCCTCACCAGCTAACAGGAGATACCCTAGGTAAAGCACACCTGGCACCCCACAGGTGCTCCATAGGCATCAGCTGTGTCCTCAGGAATCTCCCCTTGGGGCACAGAAGGTCAGAGCAGGAGCAGTGTAGGGGCAGCAACCCAGAAGTAACAGAGATTCTGGGAATCCGGCAATTTGACAAGCAAGGAGAGAGAAGTTTTAACCAGTGTCTGAGGAGTAGACCTGGGGTCTACCTCAAAAGGACCTTGCTCTCCCAACAAACAAGAGAGAAGGAATCATTCTGGCCTCATAAGAAAGTTTATAGGTGAAGGTTGTATGTGAAGGGACTGAGCCCGACTACTCCCCATGCCAGAAGCAAGCCAGATTTGAATTTAGTCAACTGAACAGTATTGAATAGTGTCCCCCCAAAATTTATGTTCACCCAGAACTTTGGTACCTGACTCGATTTGTTTTTTTTGTTGTTGTTGTTATGTATTGCTTTGCAGTGCTGGGATGGAGCCCAGGGCCTCGTGTGAGTGGGGCAAGTGCTCTACCACTGAGCTGTGCCCTCAACCCAGTCCCCCACGCCAAGGTGAGTAGCCTAGAGATCGACATTCGCCCGGGGGATGCCTCGCAGGATTTCCTTTTTCTCTGCCAAGATGTTCCACCCAACCAAAGAAGCCTTTCCCAAGTTTTCCACTATTACAGCATCTCACCCCCAGGGCCCCACCCTCAAGACCACTCCCAGGCTTCTCTGAAGCCCCCACTCTTGGGGAACCCAGGAGAGAAGAAAGTAGTGCCCACCTGGCAGAAGCCCTAAGAGGTCATTCAGAGGGAATCCCAAAGTATTGTGTCCATTCCCCCGCTTTGGCTCTATTTCCAGGATTGGACCATGAGTCCAGGGGCCTGCTGCCCACCCCAGGAGGCTCCTTACCGTACATCTTGCCCTCATCTGACAGGATGATTTTGCGCCGACCGCAGGGTGGGTAGATGGCCAGAGCTTCCTGGAAGCTCTGCTCAATGTCGGGGCTCCACACGCCCTCTGCATCGTTGTCGATGGGCTTGTCCAGTGCCTGACTGCCTCCAGAGACACTGCTCCCCTCAGGGGAGTTAGGAGAGCTCCACTCGTTGGAGGTAATGGTGCCGGCGTTGCCCTCCAAGGCTCTGCTTGGAGGAGCGCCCGCTGGACCTGTTGGGGCAGGAACCATGGTCCAGGTGAAAAGGGGAAGAACCCTGTGGACCACGGGACACCAGACATCCCAGGGACTACTCCAGCCCCCAGTTATTTAGGAGGCAAAGTAAAAGGTCTGTAAGAGTCAGAAGAGCAAGAGTCTCAGAGAGGTCATTTCCCCTCTGCAGACCTCAGCTCCCCACCTGTCAAATGAGCGTGACCTCTTATCATGGCTGAGGGCCCAGGCTGAGAAGTAGGAGACAAGGACCAAATGCCAGGGTCTGACATTAAATCAACCTGGGAGAAAGGATGCAAAATACTGTGCAAAATTGTATTTTGGTTCCTAAAAAAATTCAAGCAAGGACTGAGGTCTATAGCTCAGTGGTGGAGCACTTACCTAGCATGGGTGAGGCCCTGTGTTCATCCCCACACCATACACAAAAACAAACCAACCGTGTAATCCAGCAATTCCACTTCTCAGTATATATCCCAAAAACCTCAAAGCAGGGTCTCAAAGAGATATTTTCATGTTTGTAGTAACATAATTCACAATAGCCAAAAGATGGAAAAAGTCCAAATGTTCATCCCTGGGTGAATGGATACACAAAACGCATATTCGCACAATGGAATATTATCCAACTTTAAAAATAAAAAAAAATTCTAGCTGGGCATAGTACCATACACCTATAATCCCTTGGGAGACTGAGGCAGGAGGATTACAAGTTCAAAGCCAGAGTTAGCAATTTAAGGACACCTGTTTCAACATAAAAAATCATATAAAAATGGCTGGGGATATAGTTCAGTGGTAGAGCACTCTTGGGTTCAATACACCCATACAGGGAAAAGAAAAAAAAAAAAAAAGAAAATTCTGTTCCAACATGGATGAACCTTGAGGATAATGTGCCAAGTGAAATAAGTCAATCACCAAGAAAACAAAACTGTATGGTTCTGGACTGGGGCTGTAGCTCAGTGGCAGAGTGCTAGCCTAGCACATATGAGGCACTGGGTTGATCCTTAGCACAGCATAAAAAACAACAAAATAAAGGCATTCTGTCCATATACAACTACAAAAATTAAAAAAACCTGTATGGTTCTACTTACATGAGAAATAGAAAGTAGAATGTAGTAGCCTGGGACCGGTGGGAGGGAGAAATTGAGTTGTTATTCAATAGAGGTTCAGTTTCGCTAGAAGAAAAGGTTTTGGTTACCTGTTGTACAATATCGTGAAATATACTTCACGCTACTGAATCGTTAGTTAAAAAAAAAATAGTTAAGAGGGAGGACCGGTGGTGCGGCTCAGTGGAAGAGTGCACTCCTAGTGTGCAGGAGGGCCTGGACTCCACCCCAGCACTACATAAAAGAATTCCAGAAAGAGAGAATATATGAAGTGAAGTAGAACAACATTTTAAAAGATAAGTTTAAAAACAAGATTTCCAGGATTAACAAAAGACATGACTCCTCCAATTCAGGAATCATACTGAGTCTTAACCAGGATACATTTAAATAAACACATAGGGACACTATAGAATACCAAACCCAAAGAGAAGACCTTAAAAGCACCCCGAGCTGCAAAGGAGAGATTTTCTCCAAAGAAAGGATCTCCCCTCCTTCCAGGCCCTGAGCTGGGGACCCAACCCAAGGGCCTCCAGCAAGCTAAGCAGGTGCTCTGCTGCAGAGCCACGCCCCAGTTCAGGAAGGACTATTAAACAGACCGCAGAATTCTCTAATGCTAGAATCCCCAAATTATTTGGAGAAAAGAGCCACCAGCCTAAAATTTAAAACCCAACAAAAACATAATGCAAGAACAAAAGTTAAATTAAGACTTTTTTAGACCAACGATGAGGAGAATTTACTACTACAGACCCACAATGAAAAAAACAATAAAAGGGGCTAGGTTTGTAGCTCAGTGGTAGAGTACTTGCTTAGCATGTGTAAGGCACTGGGTTTGATCCCCAGTGCCAGGAAAAAACAAAACAAATAGAAAATGATAATATGGAGCCACCATTTGACCCAGCTATTCCCCTTCTCGGTCTATTCCCTAAAGACCTAAAAAGAGCATGCTACAGGGACACTGCTACATCGATGTTCATAGCAGCACAGTTCACAATAGCAAGACTGTGGAACCAACCTAGATGCCCTTCAATAGACGAATGGATAAAAAAAATGTGGCATTTATACACAATGGAGTATCACTCTGCATTAAAAAATGACAAAATCATAGAATTTGCAGGGAAATGGATGGCATTAGAGCAGATTATGCTAAGTGAAGCTAGCAAATGCCAAATGTCTTCTTTGATATAAGGAGAGTAACTAAGAACAGAGTAGGGACGAAGAGCAGGAGAAGAAGATTAACATTAAATAGGGATGAGAGGTGGGAGGGAAAGGGAGAGAGAAGGGAAATTGCATGGAAATGGAAGGAGACCCTCAGGGTTATACAAAAGTACATACAAGAGGAAGTGAGGGGAAAGGGAAAAATAATACAAGGGGGAGAAATGAATGACAGTAGAGGGGGTAGAGAGAGAAGAGGGGAGGGGAGGGGAGGGGAAGGGAGGGGGGATAGTAGAGGATAGGAAAGGCAGCAGAACACAACAGACACTAGTATGGCAATATGTAAATCAATGGATGTGTAACTGATGTGATTCTGCAATCTGTATATGGGGTAAAAATGGGAGTTCATAACCCACTTGAATCAAAGTGTGAAATATGATATATCAAGAAATTTGTAATGTTTTGAACAACCAACAATAAAAAATTAAAAAAAAAAAGAAAGAAAATGATAATGATTAATTTAACTTGGCTATGCAATGGGGGGGGGGGAGGAAGCATGTTTGTGAAGCACAAGTTCAGAAGATACAGTTGATAAAATTCAAGACCTAGTCACAATAAAAACTCGGACTGCAAGAAACAAAAGAGAGCTTCCTTATTCTGATCAAAGATATCTTTCAAAAACCTACACAAGAAATATCACACTAAAAGATGAAACACTAGCCAGGTATGTGCCACACACCTATAATCCCAGCAGTTCAGGAGGCTGAGGCAGGAGGATTGAGTTCAAAGCCAGCCTCAGCAACTTAGCGAAGCACTGAGCAATGCAGTGAGACCTGTATCTAAATAAAATATAAAAACAGGCTGGGGATGTGGCTCAGTAGTTAAGCGCCCCTGGGTTCAATTCCCAGTATGGGGTGGGGTGGTGGGGGTGGGATATGAAGAAACATTAGAAATACTTCCTTTAAGGTTAACAAGATCAAGAATGCAGCCAGGTATGGTGGTGCACGCCTGTAATCCCAGCGGCTCAGGAGGCTGAGGCAGGAGGATTGTGAGTTCAAAGCCAGCCTTAGCAATGGTGAGGTGCTTAGCAACTAGTGAGACCCTGTCTCTAAATGAAATACAAAATAGGGCTGGGGCTCAGTGGTTGAGTGCCCCTGAGTTCAATCCCCAGTACAAAAAAAAAAAAAAAAAAAGAGAGAAAACATAATTTTTAAAAAAAATTGTTCCACTTAGAAAATAAAGCCACAAGGTATCCAGGGATATAACAAAAGGTGAGACCTTTTACAGAGAAAACTGCAATTGTTTCAACAGACAAAAAAAAATATCTAAATAAATAAAGGGAAGAAACTGTGTTCATGGATGGAAAACAATATAATAAATAAAGATGCTAAACTCCTCAAAAAACCATAAATTCAATGAAATTGTAATTAAATCCCCACAATTTTCCCACAAAATGTAACATTCTCACAGTATATGGAGGAGCTGTTGAGATGATTCTCCGGTCGTCTGTCACTGGCTCACTCTCTCTTTCTTCCCCTGGGCTTTCTATTTGGCAAGACTCATTCCTTAAATATCATCCTTGGGGTTCTGGCCTGACCACTCCTTTTTAACTTTACACAGACTCCCTGGGGGATGTCCATCCATGGCTTCCACTTCTCCTGTACTTGTTTTGGGTTTTAGTTTCTAAAATGGGGTCTCGCTGTGTTGTTCAGGCTGGCCCTAAACTCCTGGGCTCAAGAGATCTTTCTGCCTCAGCCACCCAAATTGCTGGGGCTGAGGTCTAACCATCATGCCCAACACAACCATGCATTTCTGATTACCAAATCTGCCTATCTTGCCTGGAGGGTGTAGGCCTATGTAGCAACTGCCCACCAAGCATCTCTAATCAGATTATCCCCAAAGCTCCTCAAGATCATTATATTCAAAAACCAGATTTTCAGCTTTCCCCTGAATTCTCTTCCTGCTCCTCTCCTCTGTCTCAGGAGATGAACCACAGCCCACCCAAAGGCCTGAAATCTGGAAGCCTGTTTGGATCTTCTTTCCCATATCCATTTATCCATGACAGCATCCTGTCTTTCTGTGTCTTAAATTTATCTCCTGAACCTACTTCTCTGTGCAACAGCCCAAATGCAAGCTTCCATCAATGCACACCTGGATGCCTACAGCAAACTCCTACAGACTACATCATCTTTCCACCGCAGTCACAGCAGTGATCACGTGATTCATCCACTTATTAAAATCTTTCAGTGGCTTTTCTAAGATAATCACACACCTCTTGATGGGATTTTCCCCCTTTTTAAATGCAGCTGTATTAATAATTATTATTATTTTAAATATCTTCTACAATTACTCTTGCAATCAGATGGCAGACCATGTTAGGACTACTTTGAAAAAAGTCTTTCCTAAGACTTACTTTACAAATTACATTCGGCAATAGAATAACTGCAAGAGCAGTAGCACCCTTCATCAGATGATAATTGCTCTCCCACCAAACCTTCCACCCACCTGTTGGACACTGTACTCCCTCTGCACCCATTTAAAAGCCCCAAACTCCATCATCCACGTCACCCCTAACATGCTCAACAATTCTTCACTTTTGCCCCGCTTTTATGATGGGTGCTAGGGATGAAACACACTAGGCAAGTGCTCTAGAGCTACATCCCCAGCCCTTTTTAAAAAAATTATTTTGAGACAGGATCTCACTAAATTACCCAGGTTGAGAAACTTGGGATTCCTGCTTTGGCCTATGGAGTAGCTGGGACTGCAGGCAAGCACCATTACACCTGGCTGTTCTTTTTCTATTCCTGATGGGTGTGCTGCCTGTGACTTTCCTCCCCATTCCTCTTCACCTAACCAACTGCTTCTCATCCTTAAGGTCCAGCCAAAGCACCAGAGTCAGAGGACCCCAGCCCCATGGATTAGGTGCCCTCTCCAAACTTTCAACAGCCCCATCTTCCAGACATGAGTTCCCACCTCCCAGTAATTATCAGTCTCCTTTTCACCATATTTTAACACCAGGACACGGATCAGTCTTCATCCCACTAAGTCCTCGGCACACCACACGGTGCTGGTGAGTAAAGAGTGAACAAATGAATGGATGTTTGTTAAGGACTCTTTGTAGAATGATTTATCTGCAGGGAGAATGACCCACTCTGCTTAGTTTAAGAAACAAAAATATCTCACTGGATGCAGTAGCACAGCCTATAACCCCTGCGGCTTAGGAGGCTGAGATAGAAGGATCGCAAGTTCAAAGCCAGCCTCAGCAATAGTGACGTGCTAAGTAATTCAGCAAGATCCTGTCTCTAAATAAAATACAAAATAGGGCTGGGATGTGGCTCAGTGGTTGAGTACCCCTGAGTTCAATCCCCAGTACCCCCCCCCAAAAAAAACTCAGCAAATATCTAGATTTGGGCACATCAGAGATTGAATTATATGTAAATCCTTTGGGGATTTATTTTGGAGACTTACAAAATGGAAGTGTGATGACTGAGAACCAAGGGGCTGGGGGCTGGTGTTGGTTCCAGTTCTATAGCAAACAGTGGGCAAATCACTTCGTCTCTCTGGCCTCGGCCTGCTCATCTGTAAAACTGGGTCTAAGTTCCTCCCTGGGCAGGCCATGTGTGCCTTACACACCCACCCAGACCAAACCCCACCCCTTGGTGTCTCTGAACACACTTTCCACATATTCACAGGTGGCTTTTCCCAGGAGTCTGGGGAAACTGATCCACCATGGAGAGATGATGGTCAATAAGGTGAGATGTCTAGTACAGACAGGGCTTGACATGAGTCAAAGCTGAGGGCTGTTTACTGTCATCAACATTATTATTAAAGCACACATAATATGTCAAGTGGCACATCTAAAGCCTAAGCAGAAAGATCCCTTAAGCCCCTATCACCTAAGATGAAGACCCAATATTAATCAATCCATACTATCAATACCTAAGTCCTCATTAGTCCTGGCTTTGGCCTGGATTTTCTTCTGGAGCCTGACATGGCACAGATGTGGACTCTGAGCTGGGTGAGGGTGCTGCGTGGCCGGGTATCAGCAGAGATGGAAGGAAGGGCAGCCCTGGCCCTGATCCAACGCGATATCCTTTGAGAGCCGAGGCTGTGGTTTCTGGGACCTGTACCTTCTCAGAATCCTTTTCTTCACCCCAGAAGATGGGCCCTGTGGAGCAGCAGACCTGGGGAAACCAGAGGCTGCTCATGCCTGAGTCTGCCCCACAAGGGAGGTTTTCTGAGGACCTGTGTCCCCAAGATTGGGCCTGTCCCAGGGAAAGCAGGGCAGCAAGTCACCCAAGGCCCTGAGCCACGGGATTCATGACTGAAATGGAGTCGCTCCTGGCCCTGCAAGGCCCTGCCACTCCTGGTCCACCACCATGACTGGCTGGCCTGTCCCACCCTCACAGCCCACAGCCCAGGTTGGCAGCTGCTTCTTCACCAGGCAAACCTCCCACGTAGCCCTGCCCTGTGGCCAGTATAACCGGGGCAAGCCTACACCAGCCAGAGAGGATCCCACTCCTTCCCCTCCCCCAAGCACTCCAGTGACCCTCAAGGGCCTGCTGGGGTGAGCTGGAGAGGGGGAGAACAGATGGCATCGCTGAGCCCAGGCCATGTGCCACGAACAGAGGAGTAAAAATAATCCTGACTTGGCTCTCAGAGACCGGTCTAGAGGCCTCCAGTTCTGCCCCTAGCCCCACCCAAAAGCCACCAGATGGCCTGCCGGGCAACCCAGGCCCAGACAACATGCTGCTCCATCCCAGGGCCCATGGATGCTGGAACGTATGGACTTTCATTATGATCTTCCTAAGAATCAGAATATGCTCTTCCAGAAATGCTTTCAAGACAGCAAAGGAATCACAATCCCCAGGACATACACAAAGAAGCCAAAGCTCGGGGGGCGCAGAGAAAGCCCCGAGAAAATGGCCACAGCAGACATCAAGGAGTTGAGGATGTAGTTGAGGGGCAGAGCCTTCGCCTGGCAAGCGAGAGCCCCTGGGTTCCATTCGCAGCACTATAAAACAACCAACCAAACAAAACAGACCTCAGACCTGAAGTCCTCTCCCTGAGGGTCCAGCTCATGCACTCACTTTTAACAGCCACCCAGGACCATAAGAGATCTCTAAGTCCCACCCTGAGCCACTAGAGACTGCAACTCACAGTATCAGTCTTGTGAAGAGATCTCACCTGTGTTTGCCTGTAATCCCAGATGCTTCAGAGGCTGAGGCAGAAGGATCTCCAGTTGGAGGCCAGCCTTGGCAACTTCATGAAACCCTGTCTCAAAATAAAAAATAAAAAGGGCTAGGGAATAAAATTGGGTGATGTGCATCAATAAATAAATATAAAATAAAAAGGGATAGGGGTGTAGCTCAGTGGCAGAGCACGCTGGGTTCAATCCCTAATACCACCATAAATAAATAAATAAAGCAAGCACTCAACAAATGTAACCTACCTAACACCTTAGCATAGCCTCACCCACCCCAAATACACTCAGAATACTCAATGTCAATTGATGGCTGGGCAAAACCATCTAATGCAAAGCTTCTGTATAATAAAGTGTTAATTATCTCAGTAAATTTATGGAACACCTGTATCCAAAAATATGCTGGCAACATAGTACAGTATACGGTATATGTTGTTCACCCTTGTGACCATGTGCCCGAGTGGAGCAGCAGCTCACTGCCACTGTCCCATACCATGAAAGTTTCCTGTTGCAAGCCAGGTGCAGTGGTGCATGCCTTTAATCCCAGCAGCTTGGGAGGGTGAGGCAGGAGGATAGTGAGTTCAAAGTCAATCTCAGCAACTTAGCAAGGCCCCAACCAACTCAGTGAGACCTGTCTCTAAATAAAATACAAAATAGGGCTGGGGATGTGGCTCAGTGGTTAAGCACCCTTGGGTTCAATCCCCGATCATGCAAAAACAAGAACTACTAGAGTGTTGACACTAGGAGGTACAGGTTTGGGTGCTCACTCTGTGCCAGGTACTGGGCTGGGCACTTGACTACTTCTCTACTCCTCCCACATCCCTTAAAGTACCTGGTACATCCCATCTCACCAAAGAAATGCTGAGGCTCCTTGAGCTAAAATGCTTTGCCCAAATGCCAAAGCTAGTAGGTGGCAAGGCTCAGGGACTGGATCTGCAGCCTGTCCCCAGCAAGCTTTCTCTTGCCCACCACTTTGCATCTTTTACTTACTTTGCCAACACCTTTATAGACAACTGGAAAGGGAAATGGTCTGACTCTGCAGCATGAGGTATTCAAGTTAGATGTGAAGAGTAACAGGGAAGGGTACCAGACCTTGGACTGACTGGTTAAGGGGAGCTAGAGAAGTTCCTCTGTGCATGCAAGCCTTCCTAGCCTATTCCTCGGCAAGAACCCCAATGCTTCCACGGCCTCTGGCAAAGGAAGATGCAGGATTGCCCCTGCTTGTGTAGGGAAAGAACTTCAGAGACCTGGAGTTAGCATCCAAGTTACAGGCGAGGAGACTAAGGCCCCAAGAGGGAAGGGGACAAGCAAAAAGACCACCAGACTAGTTGAAAGTGGAACTGGAAATAATCTCCCTGCACTTTTCTGCTTCACAATTATAACCACTGTGACATCAAGTGGATGCTTCTCAATGAGGGAAGAGAGGATCGATCCAGGGAGGAGGGGAGCAGCTTCCCCAGCCCAAGAAATCCCTTCTCAAACACCTCACCCGGAGCACTTCAACGCTCTGTCTACGGACCCCTCATTCAGAACTGGGTATGAACATATCTGCCAGGTATTGGGTACACGGTCAAAAGAGACGTGACTCTGCCCTCAGTGTCCTTCTTCATGTTTTATTTTGGGGACAGGGTCTGTGTTGTCCAGGCTGGTCTCAACTTCCCGAGTGGCTAGGGCTCACAGGCATGTATCCCTGTGCCTAGCCTCAATGCCCTTCTGTCCAGAGTGAAGGAGTTCATAGTAACCAGGAAGATCAAGTGCAGCCAATGCTCACTAATCATAGAATCTTCCGAGGTTCCATATTTGCAAATTTTACTTGTGAAAATCTGTAACATCAAAATCAATATAGCTGCCAGGCACAGTGGCACATGCCTGTAATCCCAGAGGCTTGGGAGGCTGAGGCAGGAGGATCATGAGTTCAAAGCCAGCTTCAGCAACGAGATGCTTAGCAACTCAGCGAGACTCTGTCTCTAAATAAAATACAACATAGGGCTGGAGATGTGCTCAGTGGTTGAGTGGCCCTGAATTTAATCCCTCATACAAAAAAAATATATATATATATATTTATATATATAATATATATATATATTTATATATATATATATATTCATCTGGCACTGTGATGCATGCCTATAATCCTAGAGGATCAGGAGGCTGAGGCAGGAGGATTTCAAGTTCAAAGCCAGCCTCAGTAACTTAGGGAGTCCCTAAGCAACTTAGGGAGACCCTGTCTCAAAAAAAAAAAACCCCAATCAATACAGTCTTTTCAGTATGGAAGAGCCCAGAGTTTACCCAAATGCATGACATTCAAGGCCCTTCTATAAAATGGCAGAGTATTTATTTGCCTATAACCTAGCACATTCTCCTAGATACTTAAGTCATCTCTAGAGGACCTGTGATAACACAATGTAAGTCTATGTAAATAGCTGTTATACTGTATCACAGATAAGGGGGAGTGTCTGTATATGCTCAGTACAGATAATCTTGCCCTCAATATTTTTGATTTGGGGCTGATTGAACCCACAGGTGTGGAACCTGTGCATAGAGAGAGCCAACACTACTCCTGCCTCGGTGGTCACTCAGATGCGGCATGTGCCGAGCCCTGAGCAGTCTACATGCCAAGCTGCCTCCAGGCTGAGGTTAAATAAGGCTGCATTCTGCCTTCTTGTCTCAGTTCCTATACTATATCCAACTGTCCTTTTCAAAGTGCTCTGTTGGGCTGTGGTTGTGGCTTAGTGGCTTGTACATGTAAGGCACTGGGTTCGATCCTCAGCATAAAAATAAAAATCCTCAGCATAAAACATAAAAATAAATAAATAAAATAGATATTGTGACCATCTATAACTAAAAAAACTTTTAAAATATATATGTTTTAAAAAATAAATAAATAAAGTGGTCTGTTGACTGCTGTGTTTTTCAACCTTGTAGGCTTTTGGTTAATTTTTTTCTTAAATCAAAGATACTTTTATTTTACTAAATTGCTTTACTTATTTTTATGTGGTGCTGAGGAATTGAACCCAGTGCCTTACATGTGCCAGGCAAGCGCTCTACCACTGAGCCACAACCCCAGCCCCCTTTTGGTTGATTTCACTCTTCAAAATGGACCCCGGGCACACATTTTTTAAGCTTCATTTCCCCCCGACATTTAGTAGAAATGACTATTTATTCCATAAGATAGTATTTAACTAAAATTTATAATGCATAATGACTATAACATAATAAATGCATCACAGTTAGATTTTTTTTTTTTTTTTTTTTTTTTTTTGCAGTGCTGAGGATTAAAACCAGGGGTGTTTTGCCACTGAGCTACATTCCCAGCCCTTTTGCTTTAATTTAAGACAAGGTCTCAGTAAGTTGCCCAAGTGATTCTCCTACCTCAGCCTTACCCTCACGAGTAGCTGAGATTATAGGCGTGTGCCACGGTGCTGGGCTCCTTGCTTCTTTTTTTTTATTGGTGCTTTATAATTATACATAATAGTGGGGTTTGTAATCAACAATATATATTAAATAAGGTATCTTAAAACAGAAGCATATAAAAAGTTTATAAATTAATCAGTTGACAAGAATCTTGAGACCAGAGATTTATGGGAACCTAACCCTAACTTCTACTAGGAGCCATGGTGCAATATTTGCTAATTCAGTGTCCACAGCAACTTTATAGGCCATAACTACCATGAATAACAAGAATCAGCTCTACCTAGGGAGGGTAACATGGGAAACCCGAACAAGTAAACATCTTGGGATAAGAGTGGGAGTGGGGATCAAAATGATGCTGGACTCCAGGGCCCGGGAATACCACATCTGGTGAAGAGAGAAACGTCAAAAGGTACCAAGATAGTAAAAATGTAGGAACAGTCTCATCGACAGATGAATGGATAGACAAAATGTGAGGGGTACTACTCAGCCTGAGAATTATTCTGACACGCTCCAACTGGATGAACCTTGAAAACATTATGCTAAGTAAATAACACAAAAAGACAAATAATAATGTATGATTCCACTTATATGAAGCACTTAGAATAGTCAAATTGATACAGAAGGAAAAATAGTGTTCAGAGGGGAAATGGTAAGTTATTTAATAGGTACAGAGTTTCTCTTTGGGAGAATGTAAAAGTTCTAGAGTTGGACAGTGGTGACAGTTGTATGACATTGTGAATGTACTTAATGCCACTGAACTATACACCTAAAAAATAATTCTCTGTGTGTGTGCGCGCACACGTGCACGCACCAGTGGTACTGGGAATTGAACCTGGGAACTGGGAACTTTCTACCATTGAGCTGCATTCCCAGTCCTTTCAGTTTTGAGACAGGGTCTTACTAAGTTGCTGAGGCTGGCCTCTGTCTCCAGAGTTGGTGGGATTATAGGCCTGCATCACCATGCCTGATATATAATATAAATATTATAGCATGACTATTTTCTTTTTTTGATACCAGGGATTGAATTCTGGCACTCAAACACTGAGCCACATCCCCAGCCCTATTTTGTATTTTATTTAGAGACAGTTGCTTAGCACCTCATTTTTGTTGAGGCTGGCTTTGAACTCACTCAGTCTCCCAAACTACTGGGATTACAGGTGTGGGCCATCATGCCTGGATTACCATGACTTTTAAAAATAAATAAATAAAGGTATTGAGTCCATCTACAACTAAAAAAAAAAATATTTTAAAAAAAGAATTAGACCAGAGATCTTATGCCTAATAGAAGAAAAAGCAGGCCCAAATCTTCATTATATTGGATTAGGCCCAAACTTCCTTAACAAGACTCCTAAAGCACAAGAAATAAAATCAAGAATCAATAAATGGGATGGATTCAAAATAAAAAGTTTCTTTCCAGCAAAAAAAAAAAAAAAAAAAAATCAATGAGGTGAACAGACAGTCTACATTTTGAAATACATTTTTGCCACACACACGTCAGATAGAGCATGAATCTCCAGGAAATATAAAGAACTTAACAACATTCCAAATTTCAAATTGCCATTGGAAAATTTGACATTTGATTCTCCCTGATGTGGTTAAAAACTGAATAAAAGTGTTAACAGAACTTTTTTCTTTTGATATATGATCACAAAATTAT